AAGGAAATCTATAACTGCAACCTGAGCATTCGTAACAACTCCTGTGCTCTGTTATTTTACCGCCGTTGAACTCCAAGTTACACTTAGGACATTTTAGTACATTCTCATTAACATCACAGCTTATAATCTTATTAACATCAGAGTTTATATTCTTATTAATATCAGAGTTATTGTTAGAGGATATTCTAACGGGAGTCCGGAAGGCGAGGAGAAGCGGGGTACGCAAAATAATGACACTGAATAATTCTGTATAGAATTAGAAAAATAAATTTTATTTGCGCGACCGTGAAAACGGCCGCGTCCTCAAAAAAAGAAAATTACACAAATAACGAACAGAAATAAAATAACCGGTCGCTACTGCGACCGTATACGAGTTATTTGTTTGACTTTATTTGTCCTGCTCGGGTCAGGCCTTTGCCGTCGCCGCACGTGTATGTCCTAGACGATCTCTGTAAAAAGAATCGCAAACACCGAAAACGATGTATTATTTATTCCACTCGTAACGATAGGAAATAATTCTTCTCATTTGTGGACTGTATGTAGCCGAGAGGAATTCTCCGGCGTTTTACTCTCAAGTCTCAGTTTGAATTAAATGAGACGAGGACGACAGTAACTTTGGTTTATCACTGTATCGGTGCACCGATCAGCTGTAACCCGACGCTGTCTGCACTGCACGTACAGTGTATACGGTCTGTACGGGAGCTCGGGTTGTAAGGCCGAAAACTCCGACTGATCGGCAATAAGACAAACGATCAGTCTGGAATGCAGACGACACCACTATCGGTGTCCCTAAGCCAGGGGTCCTCAATCGCCTTTTTTCTCGCGGTGCGCTGCAGGTCACTGGTTGATGCAATATCAACCTACTGCAGGTCCTATACGAAAGACGGGGTGCCTCGACCAGCCCGGTCCGTCAACTTTGGACGATTACGACCTGCGGAACGCCGGGAAACTTGAGCACGTCTACTATGGACGTGCCGCTTCTCGAAGCTGTGAAACAGCGATGATAAACCGAATACGAAAGAGAATCTTTCGTTCGGTATTACAAAAGAAGGAAGGAATTTGTGCGCTACTCTGGGTCTGATGAGAACTCTGGGTCTGAACTCAGAACGCTATCAGAGAAGAAGGCATACATAAATTCCTGGATTTAACGAGTGATCGGTTACAGACAGAAATTCGTCTTTGCGATGTGTACTCGAAGCCAGATAACTGCCGACAAGACCGATGTCAAGACGCGAGTTCACCAGGAAGACTCGATTCCCCACTAAGCGGCAGAATCGACGAATATTCTTTCCTGGTTCAATTAATATTCTTCCTTCTTTGTTTTGTGACGTCAAATTCCGAGAATTCGGACACGAATACTTGGAACACGTGTACTGGCGTCTACCTATTCGGCTAGCCAGGCGGTGTTGATCAGTTTTTCTATTCGAGGTGACTCGACTATTTTGGATCAAGCCGGAAGACTCGTATGAATGAAGATGTAACACGTGGATGCGGGCCAACGCGGAATCCGTGAATCCCTCGTTACATATCGGGCAATGAACAGGAGAATCCCTGCTGTCGACGTGATTCATCTTATGTTTCTCTAAAAAACGTAGCTCCGCGAACTTCCAATGACACACGATACAGTCGTACGATCCTATGTTCGAATATTCTAACAAATGATTCTTCAAACTAACCGTGTGATCGAATTTCGTGTTGCATGTCGCATAGGTATCACCGACATGTTTATTAAACTCGACGAGGCCGCCATTAAATTTCATACAAGAATTTCTCTTCCTCTTCTTCGCTACATTTTGACTGGCGTTGCTTCCGTGAAAATGTCTCATGTGACACTGCAGCGACGTGTTAGTCGTCAACGCCTCGTTACAATGACAACACTTCATAATGTTCGGGACAGACCCGGAGTGATTCAGACTATAATGCTTGGCGAGTGCAGCGATCGTATTGTAGCTCTTGGTACACTTTTTACAATAAATCTCGCCAATATTCGAATACTCCAGTTGATGCTCTTTCAGATCTTCTTTGTTGGTAAATTGCAAGTCGCAGACATCGCACGTATACGTTTTTATTGGTATCGATGGTATATTTTCTGACATCGTGATGATGTTCGTTGGCAACGTATAGGTGTGGTCATGCTTGATGTTCATATCGACTATTATACCGTCCGGATGAACATGAAATTTATGTGCATGCAAGTGCGACTCGTAATTAAAACCTTCCTCGCAAATGCTACACATGTAAGTGTACAAATCTCGCAATTTAGCGGGATAATGTTCTAATTTGTTATGGTGATGTAGTTGATACATCCCATGGAACGATTTACCGCAAACCGAAGTGTTATACTTGTGAATTGTACACGTGTGTGACTTCAACATTTTTCTACTGGCAAATGCCTGATGACAAATGTTGCACCTAATTTTGTAATGTTTGAATAAGATTTTGTACATGCACTTTTTATTGAAACTTCTAAATTGTCCACAAACGGAGCAACGGGCACTCCTCCACCTCCTTTTTATTACGAATGTATCCTTAGTATCTAGTAGCTTTTTCATGTTTTCTATACAGAGTATTTTTGCACTTCTGTTTCGTTTGAATGTGCCCTCAGATAATTCTGAGGAATCTTGATTTTCATCGAATACCTTTGCTGTTTCGTCTTTAGAGCTTTCCAAGGCTGATGCATGAGATCTCTGAGCAATCCTACATACCTTTTCATGCTGATCCAAGCATGAACGTAGCCAAAATCGCTTGCGGCAGCCTGCGCAATGGTGAAGCTTCTTACATATATTAAATTCCTCAACATTGTCTTTAAAAAGAATGCTACTGTGACGCATATAATGTTGGAGCAGCATCTTAGACTTGTAACGAGCAGTGTAATTGGTCGATGTCAAGTGAACTGCTATCATATGCTTCTTCATTTCCTTCTTCAAGGGAAATGCTTTTTCACAGCGACTACATTTGTATGCATTGACGCACTTGGCTAAAGGGAGATCAAAAGATGCTGAGTTAGCATTGCTGGGTAAATGCATTGTCTCTTTCAGATCTACTTGCAGAGAAATGTTTTCACCTAACTTAATACTCTTTACAATCGAGTCGCATCGCTTGATTAGAACTATACATTCTTTACATTTCTCTAATTTGTTTTTTAAAGTGTCAGTTGACGGCGAATTTGACACTTTGAAGACCAGGGGGCTTGAATTTCCTATACTCTGACAAATTTTCCTTCTCTTACTAGGAGGGGCTAACTCTTCTGCGAGTGATGTATCGCTGAAATTAGCGAGGTCATTGGATCTTACTGGTGCGTCTCCATCTGCGTTCTTACCAGAATGTATCAAATCTCCATGGACGTGGAATAAATGACTTTGCAAACTGGTCTTCCATTTCAGTTCTGCGTTACAAAAGTTACAAAACATGTAGTTACACGGAACATTAGATTTTATGTCACAGCCGCGCTTCTGATGCATCTGAAGTCCGCTTAGTGTGCAGAACGTAGCGTTACATTGATCACATTTGTATTTACCAGACCACACTCTAGTGTGGGCTTGGAGCGAGTAATCACTTTTGAAGTGTGTCATACAGATGGTGCAGATAAATTTATCTTTTATTTCTCGACATTTTGATTTCTTTCTTTTTCTATGGTTCACGTCAATTGTATTAGTAGTTGGTACAATCTCGTCAATTTTATTTGTTTCTGGGTCGGTGGGCTCCTCGTTGCATATTTCTGGAACCTGAAAAAGTATACAAATTTAATAGAACAGCCAAAGGAATACGACATTTGTTGAGAGTACTTTAAGTCGATAGGACTATAGACAGACTTAAAGAACACATGACAAAATGAAAGTCTTTTCTGTTGGAAGCAAGTGAATTAGTAGACAGCGAATTTTATGCACTTATAAGAAAACAGTACGCAAAAATTATGAATGCTGTTTGTAATATAGAAATCCACGAAGAACATCAAAAGCTGAATGCAAATTTCAATGTTTTAATAATAAAATAAATGGTTAGCTGTAACGTGTCTCTTACATTGATACCATAAATATTCTGTTTTGCATATACAGGATGTACCCGGATTAAACGATCAAACTGCATTTTCTACGAATAAAAAGGAGAAAATGTTCTATAAACATAGGCCTGCACATACTTTATAAAAAAGTTATAATAAACATATGACACCTAAAATCAATAGCGAGTTCGTTGTTGATATATCGGAATGTAACAATAAGGCAATGGAATTTATGGAACGTACTCCTTCTAGTGTTGTTCATTATTTGCAATAATTGAACGCGATAACGCAGAGATCAAATTACGGCAACCTCTATACTGTTATGATTAGTGAGCGAATTAGTATCAGTTCCGAAACGTCCTTTCAAGAACTAATAGAAAGGATTAATAGTGCATCCACTGAACTAAAACAAGACAAAAGTGAAATTTGGAGAGTGATAAATTCAGTTTCTCTAAGATATCAAGTCTGCATTTGTAATGGGGGGTAGGACTTTGAAATAGAAACATAAACTTCTTTTCAATGTAATAAACCGTGATAATAAAACGTTTGCAGACCTATGTTTATGTAACGTTTATTACTTATTTTTATTCATACAACATACTGGTGCAGTTTGATCGCTTAATCCGAGGATACTTTGTATATCCGCTCACATACGTAAGGCTAAAAAATTGATCATCCATAATTTTAGTATGTCTCAAGTATGTATTGTATTAAAGTCCTGATTCCCTAATTTTCCTAAATCAACAGATGAATAGTAAATGTACTATTTATGATAACTTGAACAATTTTCGTCTCATTTAACACATTACGTACTGCTCACGAGTTTTCTCGTGTTAATCGGTTAAGGACCATTGACGAGTTTTCTCATTTTCCTCGCGCTACCTGTTACAGATCCTAAATATCAACACACTGCCTTATCCACATCAAATGAAGCGATCTCACTGGTGGAAATCGTGCAGGTCAATTTACGAAAAACTATAAAATTGCGTGAACCCATAAAGTATTGCAGTTACATTATATTTTGATCATTCGAATAGTATTCGTCTTCAACTTTCTGGCGCTTTTAGAGACGTACTTGCCCTCTCTCAGAAAAAGGAAGGAAACCAACGAAATTGATACACATACGGAAATATTTAACGATAATTTATTAGATATTCCTGGTGAGATCGAAGATGCGGATGACTGTTTTGACGATTCCGGAGACGATTCTACTGATTCTACTGATAGTGAAATTATTAGACCTGTAAGGAAACGTTGGGTGGCAGTGACAATTACTTTGAGCACCTGTAAATGCAAGTCTATTTTGACTTTTTTATCATAAATGACATTTGCCGATCTTCAAAGACTTTAATGTTGTACCTCGTTGAATTCGTTTCAATAGCCACCATCAGAAAACAGGTACCGAAACATAGCATTCTATTTAAAAAACAAAGTTGACCTTCACGTCTCTGTAACGACTCCACCTAAGAAAAAATATTAATGCCATATTATAGCCCCTGTTGTCCCATGTATCTTTTGTTTCGAAAACTTTTCTGCTACTATCATACTTTCGGAGTTATTGTAGGTGGCAATAGTTATTGCTTCACCCTGTATATCACACTTCTGAACATGGATTAATTTTAATAAAACTAACACCAGAATACTTAATACATCGAAATAAATAAAATATTGGCCACAAATGGTACATTTACTCTATAGCTAAATGATCAAAACGTTGTTAAGTTTCAAAATTCTTTATCTGTTCCCATAAGAAAATCGTTCGTTATTATTAATACATATCAATTACAATAATTTTCCACTGAATACAGTGGTCATCGTAAACCAAGTATATGCAATGTAAGGAATAAAATAATAACGTACGGTATTCATTTTTGACGAAATTTAAAAATCGACAAAATGTATAAAACTGTCATTATATTAATTACTACAGTACGATGCGACCTTCTCTACCCAATGAATTACAATTTTTCTTATCAGAAGAGAATCTCAAATATGGATATTCAGTAGAAAGAAGAGATTTTCTGAGGAATGAAGATTGTTTAACACAGACTAAAGACGCAAATCATACGTTGACACCTTCAGCACCCTATCAGTCACCAGTAAGTAAACAAAATTGGCCAGAAAAAAATGTAATACATACGAAGAGTTAGATACATCGTCGCATCGAGAAACGGAAATGGTGGCCATGTCAATAACAAAGATTGAAGCGCTGAATAAAGAAAATGTCGATACTCGGAAAATCCAGATGAAAGCATTGCTTATTAAAAACGATGCATGAACTTACGTTAACGATGATAAAACGAAGACCGAAATCATAGCGGGAAATCTAGTACCGATCGTAGCGGTAAAATTATAGGAAAAATAAGATTTAAAAGCTTAGTCGGATATTATTCTTTCCGATAAGCTCATCCGAGGTCAAATGAATTGAAGGATGCATTACGCCAAGAGAAGTATACTTGAAGTTGCAAGAAATTTATCAGAAGATCGACCTGAAAAGCCGTGTTGCTTAAATGACTGACGCTGTATAAGATGACCGAATAAAAAGACACGCGCGAGCATTTGAAGAAAAAGTAGACAAATTGAAGAAAATGGAAATCGAAGTAAATCCGGACTTGTTGACAATGATGTTGTTATACAACCTTCCACGCGTAACGGATATTATTAGTCCAACAGTCTTCACTGCAGGAGTGTCATCATTAGACTGTGAATTTCTATGTAAAACGAAACACTTATGATAGAGTTTTAGACAGACATTCGTTTCATAATTTAAATAATATAATGCGCATTCTGACTTTGATATTCTTCATATTTTTATACATTATATACGAGTTGGAAATATGAGATTGGAAGAGAAAGGAATTGGAACACATAAAGACAAGAGGAAGGAATATAGGAAAAATGAAAATTGAATGAGAAGCGAGAGCAGACGAGTTTGATGAGCAAAAGAGAGAATGTAGTCAAGTTATGCTGGATGGAGAAGAAATTAGAGGGAGGTCAAGGGAGATATAGTGAAGAGAGGAGAAAATATTTGAACAGCTTTGGAATTGGCGAAAAGAATGTTAAAGATAGGCTGGAACATGATATATCATGTTGGTGACCCAGAGGGATGCATATATTGAAAATCAAAGGATAGGGATCAAAATAGATGAATCGAGATCTAATCCGAGATATGAGGAGTGCAGTGAGTTGTCTTTTCCACGATACTAGAATTCAGGGGGTAATGGAAAACTGAAATGTGGGAACTTGGAAAATACAAATTTTACTGGTTAAAAGAGGCAGGAAGGAAATGTAAATTATGTAAAAAGGGATGGGTTAATCTAAAGCACTCTTTATGTGAATGTAAGTGTCGCGGATTTTTTGGCTTTCCGCAAGCCTCCCGGATGGACGGGGTTGGATAGCTAAGAAGACAGTGAGGAATTGGGTGAAGTATGGGAAGTATAATCATGGAAGCGTTCACCGACAGATGTAGGAATCGTGTAAGAAACGTATTAGAAAAATTGTATAAGCGTTACAGATTAAGGAGAAAGAGATAGATAGAAATAAGAGAACGAGGGACGAGATGTAAATCTAAGGAGGCAGAGAAGTGTGGAATACAGCTGCTCGGAGTATGAATGTGGAGTGAAGAAGAGGAAAGTGTAAATGGGGAAAGAGAGCAAAAACGAGATTCAGGAAATAGTGACGACATACAATAATGCTTAGAAACGAATGTTTGTTGTAAATAATTGTTATAGCTTTCTGAAAGGTTTATCCATATTTCTGAAACCCCTCGCTTGCTTAATTTCAATCTTTTAATTTAAATGGTGCTTCATTAGAATGCATACAATGGAGCTTAATATAAGAAAATGCTAATAGGGTTTGACGAAAAAGCTGGGAAAGTTTGAATATGAGTTGTATGCTTTTTCCAACATCAAAATAAATTGAGTATACGTGCAACACAATTAATGCATCGTGTATAAAAATAATGAAAATTAAATGATAAAATCTCTATATGTAATAATGAAAAAAAATACATTTGGTTCTTGTTTTATCTTGAGACTGATAAATGTCGCATAAATCGCATGTACTCTAAAGCACGAGCCATCTCGAGATGAGTTCTTACTTCAACGTGTTCGGACGAAATCTACAATCAGAAAGCAGAAGATACTAATGATTCATATCAAAGTTGCAAATTAATGTTCTCTTGGATAAAATACATTAATTGGTCTGAAATAGGTATTTTAGTTATATTTAATTATCATTCTCCGTCGCGGCTTCGCTAGTAATATTTTTTTGTGGATGAAAAATGGTAGACTCCTCTTTTCATTGAAGTGCCTTGTAACCGTACAAACGAACCGCGTGTACCGGCTACATATATCCTCGCGTAAGAACGTTCGAGAAGGTCCGAGGACCTTACGCAGAAGCGGATTCCGTCAGGTTACGTAACCGCAGGATCGACGATCGATCGCGTAACCGACGGATCACTCCGAATTCTCCTTCCGAAGGATCGACTTCGCGTTAGTATATCGAAAGAGTAACTTCCATTTTGAACAGCGAAAGTAGTACTTCGAGTCCGAATACCGATCGTATGACGTA